CGAGCGCATGTCTCACATTTCTTGCGTATGTCCTCAGCTATCCAGGGCGAGTAGAACCTACTATGAATAAGTTCCGGGGTTCTCTCCATTCCCAAATGTCCAAAACCATCAGGCAGGGCCCTCATGGCCAGGGCTCTGTACTCTTTTGGTAGTAATAGTTGTGTTTGCGGATTTTGTAAAGGATCTGCTGTGATCTGGTGCAGCACTCCCTGTATCAGTTTTAGTTTGCCATTCCCTCAATAGTTGTCTACCCTCGGGGATAGATGGAATAATTGCAACAGCATTTCGCCCCTCTCTTTTTGCAAGTTGTGTGTCATGAGTGTCAGTATCTTGCAGTTGGACTTTTTGCCAATCAGCAGCATTGAGCATGGACAACGGAGACTGGTCCAACACAATATAATTCACAGAGGCAGATGGCACACTTTCAGGAGGCAGGCCCAGAGTTTCTGCAACACAACCATGAAGATTCTCATAGGCCCCTGACTCTTGATAACTTCCATTGCAAATAGCTCTCACTCCATCCATAGGAATCACAGCAATTTCTGATGGCTGCGGACGCTGTGACAATGCATCTGCATCTACATTACTTCTCCCTGATCGGTACTAAATGCTAAACTCGTAGCTAGCCAAACTGGCCACCCATCTCTGCCCTGTAGCATCCAGCTTAGCACTTGTCAACAGGTAAGTTAGTGGATTGTTGTCTGTCCACACTTGAAACGTAGCTCCATACAAGTAGTCATGAAACTTCTCAGTGATGGCCCATTTCAAGGCCAAGAACTCCAGCTTGTGGATGGGGTACTGAGTTTCACTATCAGACAGCCCTTGGTGGGCAAAGGCCACAGATTTACATTTGCCCTCAACTTCCTGTTATAGGACCACTCCTAAACCCTCCAAACTGGCATCTGTATGTAGGATAAATGGCTTGCTTGGGTCAGCAAAGACTAGGACTGGAGCATAAGTTAGGGATTTAATGATTTCTCGAAAAGCCCTTCCACAGTTCTCGTCCCATCATGGTCCAAAGGGCTCTAAGGATTCATAGTGTCTCTGCTCAGGAGGCCTTAAGGACTTCCCCTTACTCTTGGTCTTATACTTGTTTTTGCTGGATGGGTAAGATCATTCAGAGGCCTTACAACGGTAGCATAATTCTTCACAAACCTACGATAGTAACCACTAAATCCAAGAAAAGCCTTAAGCTCTCTGTAATTACTTGGGTGTGGCCATGTAGTGAGTGCTTCTGTTTTATCTGGATCAGTACTCATGCCCTCTTGGGACATGATGTGACTCATGTACTTCACTGATGTTCTAAAGAACTGGCATTTATCAATGGAAAGCTTCAGTCCATAGGCCTCCAACCTATCAAGCTCTTTAAGAAGTCTTTCTTCATGCTCCTCCCAAGTCCTTCCAAATACAATCAGGTCATCCAACTAAACCAAGACTTGTAGTAAGTTCATGTCTCCCACAACTTTCTCCATAAGACGTTGAAATGTGGCAAGTGCCCCAGAAATACCTTGAGTCATGCATTCAAACTGATAAAACCCTAATGGACAGATGAAGGCTGTCTTCTCCTTATCTTCTACTCCCAGAGGGATCTGTTTATATCCACTTCAAAGATCCAATACTGAGAACCACTGGCTTCCCAGCAAACAGTCTAAGGCATCTTGTACTCGAGGCATGGTGTACTGGTCAACCACAGTATGGCTGTTTAGGGTGCGGTAGTCGATACACATCCAGATGTTTCCATTCTTTTTATGGACCACCACAATGGGTGAGGCGTATGGGCTAAGGGACTTGGTAATGATGCCATTTGCAATCAGCTCCTGAAGATGTTGCACATCTTCCATCTCTGAGAGAGCAATCTTCCTAGATCTCTCCCTGAAGAGTCAAGAGTCATGTAGTGTGAGGACATTGTTTCATGCTCTCTGTGTATATAAATCTCCCCACTGCATTTTCCACTGAATGCATCCGATGAAGTGAGCTGTAGCTCACAAAAGCTTATGCGCAAATAAATTTGTTAGTCTCTAAGGTGCCACAAGTACTCCTTTTCTTTTTGCGGATACAGACTAACATGGCTGCTACTCTGAAATCTGTTAGGATATAGATATTCAGGCCTGTCTGTAAAGGCCTATACTCTAAGAATTTAGGTGTATTCTTATCACTTAGCTAGTTATAGAGGTATAAAAGAAAGAATCAAAATCACTGTAAGGGCCTTCTCTTACTGTGACAGTCTGAGGCCCTGTTCTTAGGCTAAGATCTTTGGCTAAGCAGCAGAGGCAGCCATAAGCTGGGAAGCGACTGGTCACATCCTCACATTCCAAACTAATCACATTGAAATAAGGCAATCTGGGGCTGTTAGAAAGGTGATCTGCTCTATCACCTCCAGAGAAAGGGAAGAGCCTAGCGGATGTAAAAGGAAGTTTAGTTTGATAGTTTTCTGTTCAGTAAGGACTCACTTATCAATAGCTGGGATGTGAAATCCTCATTTCTGTGTTGTTCTATCATTGTAGTTCCCATTTCCCTATTGTTTGTCTGTATAATCTCTGTCTGGTTCTGTGATTGTTTCTGTCTGCTGTATAATTAAGTTTGCTGGGTGTAAACTAATTACAGTGGTGGGATATAATTGGTTAAATAATCATGTTACAATATGTTAGGATTGGTTAGTTAAATTTCAGTAAAATGATTGGTTAAGGTATAGCTAAGCAGAACGCAAGTTTTACTATATAGTCTGCAGTCAGTCAGGAAGTAAGTGTGGGGGGGAATGAGAACAGGAAATGGGGGTGGGGAAATTGGAATCATGTTTTGGTAAGCAGGGGGAATGGGAACAGAGACATAGGTAAGGCTCTGTGGTGTCAGAGCTGGCAAGGGGGACACTAAGGAAGGAAACTGGAATCATGCTTGCTGGAAGTTCACCCCAATAAACATCGAATTGTTTACACCTTTGGACTTTGAGTATTGTTGCTCTCTGTTCATGCGAGAAGGACCAGGGAAGTAAGTGGGTGAAGTAATAAGCCCCGGACCAGGGAAGTAAGTAGGTGAAGGAATAAGCCCCTAACATGTAATCTGATGTTGTGCTCTACCCCTTTTGCACACCCCACGTCCCACTCATGCAGTGAGAATACCCTGAATATTTCACAAAGTTTCTTCCTCAGGCGATTCTTCCACTCCTTGGACAATGGTGAATCTCCAAAGTCAAACTGCAGGATCTATTGCCGGAATTTGAGTTTCACACTGGGGTCTTACAATGGTTTCAGGCTCAAAGAGGTCTGCTATCTTCTGCCTTTGTTTCACAACATCATCATGGCTTGTTTCATTAGTAATCTGTATAATCACC